CCCAAACTCCTCCAGTGTTCACATTTGGGCATATTGAGTATCCCTGTAGAGTTTGGTCCAGATTCATCATTGTTTGAGTCGACAGTGATCTCTGGATGTAGGTGAACTACAAATCCAAAATTCAAGGTCAATGCCCACCAAACCCTTCCAGTATTTTCTGTTGGTCATGGGAGTTCTGTGTGCCCAAGTTTGGTTCAATTCCATCAGACGACACCAAATTGGGAGGGATAGCCAATATTCCAGAGGACAGGAGCAGGATTCAAAACGATCTTGACAGATTAGAGAGATGGGCCAAAACTAACAAAATGAAGTTCAACAGTGACAAATGCAAGATACTCCACTTTGGCAGGAAAAACAAATGCAAAGATACAGAATGGGGGAGGCCTGGCTCGAGAGCAGTACGCGTGAAAAAGATCTTGGAGTTCTCGTGGACAACAAGTTAAACATGAGCCAACAATGTGATGTGGCGGCAAAAAAAGCCAATGGGATTTTGGCCTGCATCAAGAGGAGCCTAGTGTCTAGGTCCAGGAAAGTACCGCTCTATTCTCTTTTGGTTAGACCACACCTGGAATATTGTGTCCAATTCTGGGCACCACAATTCAAGAGAGATATTGACAAGCTGGAATGTGTCCAGAGGAGAGCGACTAAAATGATAAAATGTCTGGAGAACAAGCCCTATGAGGAGCGGCTTAAGGAGCTGGGCATGTTTAGCCTGAAGAAGAGAAGGCTGAGAGGAGATATGATAGCCATGTATAAATATGTGAGAGGAAGCCACAGGGAGGAGGGAGCAAGCTTGTTTTCTGCTTCCCTGGAGCCTAGGACGTGGAACAATGGCTTCAAACTACAAGAAAGGAGATTCCATCTGAACATGAGGAAGAACTTCCTGACTGTGAGAGCTGTTCAGCAGTGGAACTCTCTGCCCCGGAGTGTGGGGAGGCTCCTTCTTTGGAAGCTTTGAAACAGAGACTGGATGGCCATCTGTCGGGGTGCTTTGAATCACATTTCCCCCTTCTAGCATTTTCTGTTGGCCATGGGAGTTCTGTGTGCCATGTTTGGTTCTATTCCATCATTGGTGGAGTTCAGAATGCTCTTTGATTTAGGATGAACTATAAAACCCAGCAACTACAACTCCCAAATGGCAAAATCAATCCCGCATCCAACCCCACCAGTATTCAAATTTGGGCGTATTGGGTATTTGCCAAATTTGGTCCAGTGAATGAAAATACATCCTGCATATCAGATATTTACATTACAGTTCATAACAGTAGCAAAATTACAGTTATGAAGTAGCAAAAATCATTTTATGGTTGGGGGTCACCACAACATGAGGTATTAAGGTGTTGCGGCATTTGAAAGGCGGAGAAACACTGCCTTAGATGCATGAGACGACATATCAGGGTCTTGCCATGATATCTTTGAGGCTAACATATTTACTGTGGCATAAGATTTCCTATTGGGAAAGCATTGTTCCCTTTGCTTCTCTATGTTGTTGTGCATCTCCAAGTTGTTTCCAATTTACAGTCACTCTTAAATCAGAGTTCTCTTGGCGTGAGCAAGTCAAGGCTGATTTATGGTGACCTTATGCTATCGGGTGCCCCTGGGAGGCCCATCAACACAACATAAGTGTGATAGTGCTTTAGTTGGGTTAGTTTGCATTTTATTAAAGCCATCTTGAGTCCCAGAACGAGAGAAAAGAAGGCAGATTATTATATCTCAGTCTCACCAGGTGTTGCCAGGTGTTCCTGATAGGAGTTTTGGACCATAACAGTTTAGATTCTGCCGAAGATTCTAGGAATAGTCCGATGATGTAATCATGTCCCAAATAGCGTCACTTTTTATCATGATCTCATCTATGGCAACTTCATTTAGATGTTTTGCCAATACATTTGGAACTTGACTATCTTTGTATTGTCGAAGGCTTTCATGGCCGGAATCACTGGGTTGTTGTAGGTTTTTTCGGGCTATATGGCCATGTTATAGAGGCATTTCTCCTGACGTTTCGCCTGCATCTATGGCAAGCATCCTCAGAGGTAGTGAGGTCTGTTGGAAGTAGGAAAATGGGTTTATAGATCTGTGGAAAGACAAAGGACTTTCGTCTGCTGGAGCTAGGTGTGAATGTTTCAACTGACCACCTTGATTAGCATTTAATGGCTTGGAAGTGCCTGGGGGAATCTTTCTTTGAGAGGTGATTTCCACAGATATATAAACCATTTTCCTAGTTCCAACAGACCTCACTACCTCTGAGGATGCTTGCCATAGATGCAGGCGAAACGTCAGGAGAAAATGCCTCTAGAACATGGCCATATAGCCCGGAAAACCTACAACAACCCAAAACTATCATTGTTTTCTTTCCCCAAAGTCAACGAATCTCAGTTTTTGTAGGCCTTGATGTTATATCTCCCCCCCCCTTTTGATCTTCCATTGCCACATCTATAAGTCACTTGTGTATACCTGACAATTTTATTCTGCATTTTTTGCTTCTGTTATTAAATGCTGTCAAGTCAATTTCAATTGTATTCCACATGTGTCTCTATGGCTGGATCTACACTGCCATATAATCCAGTTCAAATCCGATAATCTGGATTCAGAAACTGGATTATATGTCAGTGTAGATGGAGTCTAATGCTGGACTTTCTATGTTACTTTACTAACTTAGGCGATCCCTCGTTGCCCAAGGATGATGGTCCTCCAAGTGTATTGTCTTGGCGGTGGGTCTGTAGGTGTCTGTGGAGCCTGTTCTTGATCCACATGTACTTCCACAGTAAGGACAAGTTGCCAACTATTGGGGACCAGGATCCCAATAGTTGGCAACCTGCAAAACAGAAGGCACATCCACACAGATGATCACTTACTATAGGTGGAAGGTAGCTGGAAAACTTAGTTGCTGTGAGTTTTTAACACTCAAAAGCAGAGGAATTCCAGACAAGAAACATTAGGGTCAGCTAATCACCTCCCAACAAAGGAATCCCCCAGGCAGGAAGCAGCCAGATCTTGAAACTGCAAGGCTATTAAAGGTGGCCAATTGCAACATTCTTACTTACTTAAGCTATTCCTCATAGCCCGAGGATTATGGCCCTCCAAGTGTAGTGTCTTGGTGGTGGATGTGTAGGTGTCTGTGGAGCCTATTCCTAACCTGCATATTCTTCCACAGTGAGGGCATCCGTTTCCAGGTGGAAGATGGTCCCAGTCAGGGCTGGCTTGATGCACCTTCCTCTTGGCATGTTTCCCTTTTTCACCCTCCATTCGTGCTCTTCAAATTCTGCAGCACTGCTGGTCACAGCTGACCTCCAGCTGGAGCGCTCAAGGGCCAGGGCTTCCCAGTTCTCGGTGTCTATGCCAAATTTTTTAATGATGGCTTTAAGCTCATCTTTAAATCTTTTTTCTTGTCCATCAACATTACGTTTTCCATTCTTTAGTTGGGAGTATAGTCACAATTAACACATAAAACCAGAGACGTGGCATATATATCTAAATCCAATCTTCTACCTGAGCAGGAAACAATGTGCCCCCTTTGAATGTGCCCTTTTTTGGCAGCTCTTCAGATGAGTATTCCATGCCTAAGAAAATGTGTAGTTTGTTGGCGTTCCTTCATAGAGAAGGCTAAAGATCTTGTAAAACTACAACTCCCAGGATTCCATAGCATTGTGCTGTTAAAGTGGCATCAAGCAGCATTAATTCTATAGTGTACATGTACCCTGAGTGTTATTCATATGGGAGATTTTTAAAGCGCATGTGCATTTTTGCTGATGTAGGTATCACCTTTGGGCTTAAGCACAAAGAAAGGAAATGGGAAAAAACAGACCAACCCAGCTCTAATTTAAGAGTTGCTTACAGGGGAAAAAAATCCCCTTCTCTGTCTGTTATTTGTTGTCTCAAGACTCATTTCCACGTTCCACTTTGATAGATGCTTTCACAGACCCTAGCGAAGTTTGCTTTCACCGAGTTTCAAAGCGGATATTGGCACACTCTTATGATTTGAAAAATGTCCAGATGGCATCTCATCGTGTTCAGGAAATTTTCCACAAAGCAAGTGGCCCTTGGAGGCAGTGAGTCACTCTATGGAAGGGCTTGAACCTTTGCAGGATGGATTGCAACTTTAGCCGTGGCGTCATCCACTAACCCTTGGTCTAACTCCATGGTGATTGTGTGAAACGATCATCCTCCAAAGCTTGAGTCAAAGGAAGGAGGTTCGAAAGAGACATTTGCAATTCTTGAACTTTCTTCTGATATGGATTGGGTTGGAAGGAGGAAGAAAGAGCCATTCATGAATGAATGCAGGTTGACACCTGTTTTCCTCAATCTAGATCACGCATGGGCAAATTTGGGCCCTCCAGGTGTTTTGGACTCTAACACAATTCGAAAGGGCCTGAGGCTGTTAGGAATTGTGGGAGTTGGAGTCCAAAACACCTGGAGGGCCCAAATTTGCCCGTGCCTGATCTAGACACAAGACTCCTGTTGATGCAGACTAGAATCACATTGAGTTGTTGAAGGCTTTCATGGCCGGAATCACTGGGTTGCTGTGAGTTTTCCGTGCCGTCTGGCCATGTTCCAGAAGCATTCTCTTCTGATGTTTCACCTGCATCTATGGCAGGCATCCTCAGAGGTTGTGAGGTCTGTTGGAAACTAGGCAAATGAGATTTATATATCCGTGGAATATTCAGGTTGGGATAAAGAACTCTTGTCTGCTGAGGCAAGTGTGAATGTTGCAATTGGTCATCTTAATTAGCATTGAATGGCCTTGCAGCTTCCAAGCCTGGCTGCTTCCTGCCTCAGGGATCCTTTGTTGGGAGGTGTTAATTGGCCCTGATTGTTTCATGTCAGGAATTCTCCTGTTGTTTAATTGTTTCTCTTTATTTACTGTCCTGATTTTATTGCATTGCAATAAATTGGTTTCCCCCTCCCTTCCGCTTCACACTCCTGACTTATGTTGAGCTTCTGATCAACTCCTGCTATAAGTTCCTGACCTGTGTTTTTTTCTCTCTTTTGGGGTGACTTCCCAGGCCAGTCGTGGAAAGCCCTCAGTGCCAACGACAAGCGGCCCTTCGTTGAAGAGGCAGAGAGGTTGAGGATCCAGCACCTGCAAGACCACCCCAACTACAAGTACCGCCCCAGACGGAAGAAGCAAGCCAAGAAAATCAAGCGCATGGAGCCCAACATCCTTCTCCACAACCTCTCCCAGCCTTGCAGCGGTGACGGCTTTGGGATGAACCCCCGTTCTGCTGGAGGCATCGGCCACCCAGCCCACTCCCAGCCTCCTCCACTCAACCACTTCAGGGAACTCCGCTCGGTGGGCTCCGACATGGAGAACTATGGCCTCCCGACGCCGGAGATGTCCCCCTTGGATGTCCTGGAGCAGACCGAGCCGGCCTTTTTCCCTCCGCACATGCAAGACGACTGCAATGTGATGCCCTTCCGGGGCTATCACCACCACCCACCACCACCTCCTCCTCAGATGGAGTTTTCACCCGAAAAAACCCTGGGGAGGAACCTGTCGATGGGCTACCCTTCAAACACCTCGGCACACCTGGCTGAGGCCATGAGGACTTCCCACCCTTCTGGTATGTACTACAACCAGATCTGTGCTGGAGCCACTAACGGGCTTTCTGCTCACTTGGGCCAACTCTCCCCACCTCCTGAATCTCACCCTCTGGATGGTGGGGAGCACATGAATCCCACCGAGCTTTGGACCGAAGTGGACCGCAACGAGTTTGACCAGTATTTGAATATGAGCAGGACTCGTCCCGACCCGCCGGGGTTTGCCTACCATGTGTCCATGTCCAAATTAACTCCTCGGAGCCTCTCCTGTGAGGAGAGCAGTTTGATATCGGCCTTGTCTGATGCCAGCAGCGCCGTTTACTATAGCACCTGTATTACTGGGTAGGGGGCTACGCCTTCGGGTTACGTGTTCACCTGGGGGAGAGGTTTCAGGATACTTTACAAGCTGGACCTGGTTCAATAGTCATTTCCTCATGCCAAGGAACCCTGGGGAGAGATCAGGGGGTCTACAACGCAATGACTAGCATTATCTTTTAAGTCCAATTCCCAGGATTCTTTGTTTGAAGCCATGACCATTATATATATGTATATTCAATATAAGCTTGGAGTATACATGTTTCCTTATGAGCCAGTAGCAAGGAAGGCATGGGCACAGATGCTCATTTGGGTTGCCAGATCTCAGTCCTGTCCGAAGCTCCAATAGAGAGGGATTCAAAATCTCAATTTTTCATGAGGGACAGAGTCACTTGCCAACCTCCAATTGGGCAGCCAACAGTGAAGTTTGCTTCACATTGCAAAGATTAATTGGCTTGAACTGAATTTTGTATTGTCCAAATTTCCAACCAGAAAAATAGGTTCTCTGCATGCATATTTGAATGACAACCTGCGCACAATAGTGGTTGTACGTCATGAGTAAAGCCATCACTAGGCCCTCTTTCTAAGTTGCTAATAGGTTCTCTGCATTCATATTTGAATGACAAGCTGTGGACAATAGTGGTTGCACATAACGCTTAAAGCCATCACTAGGTCCTCTTGCTAAGTTTCAGAAATTTCAAGGCCAGGTATGATCCTGACCTGGCAGCCTTAATGCCTGGTCATATTGGCTCATATTGGGTCTGCAGGTGCATCTACACTGTAGAACCATAGAATAATAGAGTTGGAAGAGACCACATGAGCCATCTAGTCCAATCCCCTGTCATTCAGGAAAAGCACAAACAAAGCATCCTTGACAGCTGTCCATCCAGCCTCTGTTCAAAAGTTTCCAAGGAAAGAGCTTCCACCAGACTCTGTGGTATAGTTCCACTGTTGAACAGCTCGTATGGTCAGGAAGTTCTTCCTAATGTTCAGGTGGAATCTCCTTTCCTGTCATTTGAACCCATTGCTCTGAGTCCTAGTTTCCAGGGCAGCAGAAAAGAAGCCTGCTTCCTCTTCCTTATGACATCCTTTCACATATTTATACATGGCTATCATGTCTCCACTCAATCTTCTCTTCTGCAGGCTAAACAAACCAAGTTCTTTAAGATGTTCCTCAATGGGATTAATGGTCTTCAGACCTCCTCTGGACACCTTCCAATTTTTCAATATCTCTTTTGAACTGTGATGCCCAGAATTGGACACAGTATTCCAAGTGAGGTCTAACCAAAGCAGAATTCAAGGGCACAATGACTTCCCTTGATCTAGACACTAGACTCCTTTTGATGCAGAATGAATGTGCATATATAAATCTAATTTTCCTAGTTTCCAACAGACCTCACAACCTCTGAGGGTGCCTGCCATAGATGCAGGTGAAACATCAGGAGAGAATGTTTCTAGAACATGGCCATATAGCCTGAAAAACCTACAACAACCCAGAATGAATGTGGTTTGACACTACTTTTAACCATCAGGTCTCCAGGCTATGGAATCCTGGTTGTGAAGGGAAACATCAGCACTCTTTCACTGAGAAGGCTAAAGACCTTGCCAAACTCATATGATTCTATAGGCTTTGAACCATGGCAGTTTTAGAGGTGTCAAACTGCAATCATTCTACAGTGTAGATGCACCCTTAGTATACACTTAAAGAGTTTTAAGCATAAACCTTTAAGTGCAAAGCTTAACAAATATGCTTTCAGAAACAGGCATCGTGCTCCCGAGATGGACAAACCTCTCTGACAAAATTCAAAACTTGGAAAAAGCTACTGGGACTTGTAATACATTTTCCAGGGTCTGACAATAATGTGGCAGAGGCCATTTAACAGATTCAAATGCACCTTTGTTTCATTATACTTGATATTCCAACTGTGGATACAATGACAAATTCTGTATACAGTGGGAATGAACGCAGCGCATGGACCAAACTGAGTCTCAGCTCAATAGTCATGGACAGCCAAGATGACACACTCTGCCACAACCCCTTTGTGCACCAAATGCCTTCCTGTGCACCATGTCTCCAAACCTTCTCCCCTTCTCTGTGAACACTGACCAAGACCGTATCTACACTGTTGAATTAATGCAGTTCAACACCACTTTAATTCCCATTATTCAGTGCTGTGGAATCCTGGTAGTTGTAGTTTGGCAAGGCCTTAGAAGGCCTTGTGAAACTACACCTCTCAGGATTTTGTAGCATTGAGCCATGGCAGCTAAAGTGATGCCAAACTGCATTAATTCAGCAGTGTAGATGCACCCCTATTTAGATCTCATTAAATGCATTGCTTTTTTAAAAAAAAAATGGAAGAAATAACGCTGAACCACTGATATACTGTATTGCTATGTAGCACGAAGATATGGACTGTTCCGAAGCAGAAAGAAACTACATTTATAGGTTGCAGATGGCACCTTTCCTGAACTTTTGGTGGGTATGTAAAGGGGGCGATTCTGGCAAATGTATTTTCTCTTCTCCATTCAACATTCAGATATAAACACTTTCCAAGGAGATGGAAGTGCGTTCACTCTCTTCCCAAACTCACAATATCAGCTTCTTTGGCTACAGAACTGGGGAAACTAGGGTGATAGGTTTTGATGTTTTGCATCCAAGAAAGGGATTTATCTGAAATGTCTAGAAGTGAGGCTTCTGATCGGTCCAAAGGCTATGGACGACAAAACTTATGGATTAGAAAAGCACCCAAATCCTGAATATATCAGTTTAGTATGCTCAGTCTACAACTCAAATCTTGCTTGTCTGAAGGACCCAACGGTTGGCATCCAGAGAAGAATGCATTGATGGTAGTGGATATGGAGACCACAGTCAACCCTCCACATTTGCAAGTTTGACTTTTGCAGATTTGATTATTTCTCTAGGAAGCTCTAGTTCCTCTCCTACAATTTTATGGCAAACTTTCACTCGAGTTGTGCTAGAGGTTCCTAAAGAGGTGTTTTCTCAGGTAAAAAGGGCAATTTTAATTCATTTTTTCCACATTCATGGGGTTGTGCGCCTCTGACCTTAGCAAATGTAGTGGGCTGACTGTATCTGTAAACAATTAGCACAGGTTGTGATTACAGAAACCTAGGGAAAGTGGCATCCCCAAGGAATCTTGGCTGAATAGAGACAATGTACAATTAAGGAAAAGCAAGTCTTCAAAAGGACTGTGCATTTTGCAAGAGGGTCTTTTAAGGCTTGCATTCCTCTCCCTGGGTTCCTCACAACCTCTGAGGATGCCTGCCATAGATGCAATCAAAACATCAGGAGAGAATGCTTCTGGAACATGGCCATACAGCCATATTCCAGAAGCATTCACAACAACTAAGTGATTCCAGCCATGAAAGCGTTCAACAATACATCTCCTTGGATTGTGATTCTTTTTTCCTGACCATTCACATCCCCTATATACTCATGTATAAGTCTAGAAAGTTAGGTCAAAAAAATCAACCCCAAACCTAGCTCAACTTATCTACAGATGCATGTGAGTGCTCTACTTTAAATCTTATCAAAAAAGAAACCATCCCTTGTTCTGAGTTGCAAATGCTTTCTGCTCTCCAAAAATTTACTCTCAGCTTATCCACAGGTCACATCAAAATCATAATTTTAGCCCCTGGTGGAACAATAGGTTAAACCCTTGTGTCAGCAGGAGCAATGACTGAAAGGTCGGCAGTTTGAATCCGGAGAGCAGGGTGAGCTCCCATCTGTCAGCTCCAGCTTCTCGTCCAGGGGCATGAGAGAAGCCTACTACAGAATGCAGATGGCCAATTCTCTCATACCAGAAACAACTTGAAGTTTCTCAAGTTGCTCCTGACACAAAAAACAAGTCCCCAAATCTGCTTTCTGCTCTCCAAGAATTGACTCTCAGCTTATCCACAGGTCATGACAAAATCATAATTTTAGCCCCAAAACCCGTCCTTGACTTATTCATGAGGTTAACTTGGAACCAAACCCCAATGGAAACCAAGGAACCATATCGTGAGATATTTTGGAGATGGGATCCAAATCTAACCATGGCATTTGTTTATGGCTCATAGACAGACCCCCTGCGGTGCAATTGGGTTAAACCCTTGTGCCTGCAGGACTGCTGATTGGGGAGCAGGGTGAGCTCCCATCTGTCAGCTCCAGCTTTTCATGCAGGGACATGAGAGAAGCCTCCCACAGGATAGAAAAACATCTGGGTGTCCCCTGGGCAACATCTTGCAGACGGCCAATTCTCTCACACCAGAAGCGACTTGACTTCTACATGAGATTAACTTGGACATGAGTATATAGGGTACTTCAGTGAGATTTAGGAAACATTCCACACATTAATTGTATTTGTCTCTTATTGACTGTCCATGTAGCCATACCCCAAACTCAAGAAAGCCTGTTTAGGATTCGGATATTAACCCATTACATGGGCCTTGATGTTATGTGCAGAAGGCTGCCTAAATCCCAGTGCAAAATCAGCAAAATTGCTCAGAGGGAAACCCATACTTTGCAGCCTCATTGATACATGCATTGCAGTGTATTTTGGAACTATCTTATCAATAAGCATCTAGTTCAGTGGTTCCCAACCTTTTATTGACCAGGGACCACTCTCCAACATTAGTACCAAAAGGGTTACGAATCAGTTTTGGTCAACGTTAGATTCAGTTTGGGTATTTGGGGTGCTGGTTTGTGAGACCAGTCACTCTCGTTGCAATGACATAGTAACGGTGAGGCCGCAGATGAAATTTTAGCTCTTGCAGACCACTGGTGGTCCATGGACCACAGGTTGGGAACCACTGATCTAGTTCAATGCTCTCCCAGTAGCAGTTTTCCAAGATACCAAGAGGGGCTTCCAAAGAGCAAAACCTCCCTTTTGAACCTTGTGCCAGGGAGACCCAAAGGGAAGACCTTCTGTACGCAAAACTGAGCTGTAGACAGTTTTTGATGGGTGGAGACGTCCCAGACTTAACACATTCATCGAGATCAGTGCCAAAGCCATCAAAAGGGATGTTTTCCCCATTCACACTGCAGGGCTCCATCAGAAACAAACAAGAAAGCATCCAACAAACCTCGAAATCATTCTGCTGCAGTGACTGTTAAGGGACCGAGAAATCTCTCGCTGACATATCTTCTCCTGTTATCAAGAATATTATCTTTCATTTGAACCATAGGACTCTATTTTTATTAAGCTTTTTATTAAAAAGGAAAGTATCTTATCTGTTTATCTTATCTACAAATAATATTTAATTTGTTTTATACTATCCATTCCTGTAACTCCTTTTTGGTAAGAAATCGAAGGATATCTGTGCTGTTGAAAGGATTTATGTAGCAAGGATGGACTGAAATATCATGAACGGAGAGATGGGCAGTTTGGTGTAAAATCACATGGAACGATCTGTTGGAATTTGAAAATATTTGAGAATTTTGCTTAGCAGGAAGAATAAGGATGGGTCCCAATCCTGTGCATAAGTGGCACCTTTGCAAGAGCCACACTAAAGCCTGCATCCCACTGAAGTGGGCCCTAAGTTTCAAACTGGTAATTTACGAACAACATCTTTTCCTAATTCCTTGACTCTCATGAGCTTGTTACACGAACACATGTTTCTCCCCCAAATAAATGTTGCCCCCAACTGTTTCCAGATTTCTTTCTGGCAGCCGATGCCTGTTTGGACTTTGCATCGGTTTCAA